TCTATTCATGAGATCCATAAGTGCGGTTCAAACCTGCAACCCGTCAGCAACTCTAAAACTTCCTATATTCCAAACCCTATTGTATTTGCGAAACCGCCCATACGTGTGCGGGTAGGGCGGGTCGGATAACCCTATGCCTAGCCCTAATTATATTGTCACGACCTAAACCCGCTCCTAAGGTTTAACATCGTAACCTGCCAGTAATTCGTGATTACCAAAGGCCTGCTTAACAGTAATAACAATAATACCATAATAGGGAATGACGGAAGCTTGTACATAATTAAATATAATGTCCAACGAGATGTAAGGACTTCAATGAACAAACAAACTTGGATATATAGACATTCACATAAGTTCATGTCCAAACATATGTACATACATACTATAACTTAGGGAATTAAATCCCAATAACAAAACGGTTAAAGTAAAAGTCTAGAACAAAACTGTATAACATGTGATCATAATCACAAGTGGCAAAGTGGAAACACTCAAAAAGCCTTGACACATGATGGCTCGGAACCACGCAGTGAGGCACAGTAGTTTGCTTGAAAAAACAGGGGGTTCAGGTCGATGTTGCTAAACCCGATCCGGTGCCTAATCACCTATATACATATAGATATAAACGGTAAGCCAAAGCCCAGTGAATGAAAAATGTGTAAAAGGGTTTATGAATGATGTCTTTATAACAATTCCAAACAGTTGAATTCGGTAAAGAATCAGTTCAATAAACAGTATTCATACATTTCAGTGTCATATGAAATCATTGCAGTCATACGTGGTACATTCCGTAGTAGAACAGTACAGTAGGTCTTAAAGACCGAACAGTCAGTTGATGGCCATCAATACAGTAACAGTAGTTCCAAAGATTGGAATTGACAGAGATCTCTGTAACAGTAGCAATAACAATAACAGTAATAGTTGCTATGGCTACCACGAGTACAGTTTACAAAATAGGACCATCATTAATTCAAGAAACAGTGTCATTTCAAAATATAATACATTTAATCGATCAGAAAATAATTGCAATTAAACATAGCTTTACAACATTGTTACTCACAGTGAGCTCCTTGAAACACGTGCTAAAATGCACTAAAGATACGGCATCTGACCTAAACAAACAAATTCAAGCACCATGATTCAATACATAATTTATTCATTTAGTTTGTTCTATTTGTTCTATACTTATTTAGTTTCTATTTATTGCTTATCCGTTTGGTTAAACTTTTGTTCTTTAATTCATTTGTGTTCATAAGATGCGAATGCACATGAAAAACAGTTTTAAACCATGCAAACGGAGGCCCGAGAGGTAGAAAAGAGAAGCCGAAATGTAACTGGGACTACCCTTACAACCGCACGTGCGGGGGCACTTGCCGCACGTACAGAACCTCTACCGCACGTGCGCTCCACACGTGCAATTATTTTAGAATGTGAGCTGGAACAGGAGAGGGTTGGTTGCTTGAGCGGTGGCCTAGGCTGTTCGAGCGGTCTGGGTTAAAATGTGCCGAAAATTGCTCTTATTTTTGGACTTCATTTTCTTCAAAATCTACCTTCAAAACCATATATATCAAAGCCCAAAATTCATGAACACATGTTGAATTTACAATTGCTAACTTCAAACAAGATTTATAAGTTTATAACAAAGCTCAATTTCCATGCCATGATCAAGTTATTTGAGT